TATATATATATATATATACGTTCACAGGTGAAAAAATCTGAGAGTTGCAAAAGTTTTTAATTATTAAATCCCTTTAATGGGTATGAGCCCTAGACTTAAACAAAAGCATAAAACATATTACTTCTGGTGGCTTAGCGGTCCGAAGACTTATAATACAAAAATCTGGTTTCGATCCCGCGGTGGGCAGAGCATAGGTAAATCATTGTGTAGCTCTACGCCTCCCAAACCTTGCTTACAACCTAATAATACGTACTGTTCTTCTTCTTGATTTCATTAATATAGCTGCAATTTCAAAAGAAGAATTTAAGAATGAAGTTTTAATATAACTGTTTTTGTAACATAAAAATCATAAAGAATAAGTAAATGTCAAGCTATACTCAAGATACAATGTTTGTCAAATGAAGCGAGTGCTTATTATACATGTATCAATATTCTGACTTGTAAAGACACTGCCATCTAGTAGTAGGTTCATAAATAAATCTTTCAGTTTGCACTGTGTTGTTGTTTGCGAGTTAATTAAGAATATAAAGTAACAATCAGCTTTTATAATTAATTTGATTTCCATTTCAAATTCTCTTAGTTCAGGTAAGCTTAGAAATTCGAAGAAAGTATTATTTACTTGAAATTAATATTTGCTTTATTGAGTACGAAACCTTCTTATATAAAGCTTGGCTAATCATTTATCGAATTTTAGGTATCAGTAGATGAAAGAGCTTTACCTTTCTATCTTTGTTTTTCATGGCAAAATGTCGTAGAGTTGATTTATAACATATTCACATCTTTGGATGGAATGTTAAAGAACGAATTTGGTTTCCAGAAACCTAATAACCCAAAATCGAACTTTGTATTTCAGGGTTTATAGAAATACGAGTTTTGAGTTATTTCTTCTTAATTCAGCTATAAACTGGAATGAGTTTTGAGTTATCGTTTTTTGTTGTTGTTGTTTTGAAACAGAATTTACCTGAGTTTTTAATATAAAGCATTTTACTTAGTTTTGCCTTTGTACAGTCAGTTCACTCAAAGTTGTGGTTTGAATATATTCTTTACTAGATAATCCTCACTATTTTGCTTGGTAACAAAGTATGTATTGTGCTAACTTTAGACACATCATCGGAGTACTTTTTATGAGACTGGGGTTCCCAAACTGAGGGCTGTAGGTATTTTTTTTTGGGGGGGGGGGGGCTGTAGCAAAAACCGAACATATGCAGTACTATTAATGTGCTCAGTCTGTATAAATTCAATGGGCGGTGTGGGCTCACTTAGGATGAGGAATATTCTGGGGGGGCTAAGAAAGTTTGGTATATTATATATAAATGTCTCATCTTTTCTTAATAACTGATAAAATTAATAAAATATTATAAATAAAGTGATATTAGAATAAGTGACAAAATTGTACCAGTTTCATGACATACCGGTCATTTTCAGTATCTTTAAGTTCTACAACACGTATAAAACTTCTTTTATTGAAAAAGTATGAGAAAAGTGGGTAATCTCTAATTCATGAAACTGGTGCAATACAAAATTTTAGCAGTTAGGGTGTATATATATATATATATATGCTGTAGCATTCAATGTTTGCTAGCCCTTGTTTGTTTAAGTTATCGGATCTTCGGTAGACGTTCCAAATGAAAATTATGAGAATAACAAGTCACTTGGGCCCGTATCAAGTACACTAGAGAGAGATAAGATTTCAATGTCATCTAATGCAGCAACTTCTATACTTTAGAAAAGCGCCATCTACATTCAATCTGTGAAACTTTCTAACAATATATATGCGTAAGAAAGTAATGCATTTACATGATTTAAGCATAATTCCTTTGTTTCAAATGCAGGTGATATCAGAAGGCATGACTTCGGTCAACACCCCCACTTATCGGTTGAAAAACTGACCAATATTATAGTATGTTTTAGTGTAAATAAAATTCAAACTTGACATTTTTTTCATTAGTTACAAAGAACAATAAAGAAATGCATAGCTACAAATTCTTTCACTTGTAACCATGTTAATTGCTGCTTTTCCGAGCTTAAATCGAATATAACCATGTAATGTTCCGCAAAAAAAAAGTCACTGATTTAATTCGATTATGGAACAATTGAAAAGCTAATAAACAATTGTTCTTCATGTAATTCGTAGCATGTTTCAAGGAGATCGTTGACTTCTAGATGAGATAACCTTAGCTGAATTAACTCTGAAGAAAGATTGCTGCAGCGTAAAGGTAAGATAACCCGTACACCCACGTGTAAATCAACAGCAAAACTACTAAAAGGTAGAGTAACTGCATGGGTGTGTGTGTACACAAGACTAAAAGAATGAGAGTTTCATTCACTTCATGTAAAGATTTGGACGCACACACACACACACACATATCACAAGGCCAAACAACACATTATGGAGATTCTAATTTTATTATATATATATATAATATACATATTCTTTGAGACATTTTTAAACCTTCGTAAGATAAAACTAAGGAAATGTTTTGGCATCTGTGCAGTTGTTGACCAGCCTTGTTTATATCTTATAAAAAAAGAGAGAGAGACAAATGCAATATACATTATTTTTCATTTGAAGCACTTCCATGGATACTGAAATTTTTGGCAGTAAGAAGAAAGCTACAGTCTTGTAAAACTTGTCGAAGAATAGTGCTCTGATTATATGAAGTATCTCGCGCACTCTCTTTAATTCATAGCTATTGATTTCACCATGAACATGTAAATTTATAGATGACGTAAGAGCGCTACGTTTTCGGAACACTGTCTTTAAATTTATAGTAATTACTTTAAAACAATTCTAAGTTGAACTTGAGGATACATTTTATAATTCAAAACAGTTTTAACCTCTTTCTTTAGTTATACACACAATAAAACACAATAAACTACCCATTTATTTGTAGAACTTTGTTAATTTAGTCATATAAATGGGTGGGCTCAGCCCACTGCATTTCTACTCTTAGGCCCCCAAAGTGCCCTTTTTCTCAGTCATAAAAATTGCCCCAAACTACTAAAAGACGTGGCTGATGCCACACCTTATTATTTATTATGAAAAAAAAAACACCTTTCAAATGAACGGAACAAAGGAACTTGTAAGTCTTTACAGTAAGAAATAATGATAATTGTGCAAGAATTCACTGTTTCATTTTAGGTTTTAAAAGTGTTTATAAGACCTATTAAATAGAAATAAAAGACTACCTGTTTGCTTCTCATGGCTTTCTACCCTATGTGTAACAGAGGTAATACACAGTCCCCGTAGTCTCCCCCTAACACCTCTCCCCTAAAAAAACAGTTTTGTCCTACGATTCTTGAAAAATGCCCTTTTTTGTCAATAAGCCTCTGCCCTTTTGATGTCCACTGCACTACTGAGAAGAAAATCATTTCTTTGTAAGAATTTTTTTTAATATTTACCACGTCTTCATGAAACTCAGAAAAAAGAACTAACCATTTTATAGGTCTGATGTATTAACAAGTGAATTATATTATTTTCAAACTCTACGAATAAACAACTATAAAAATGAAAATATAAGCCAGTAGATGTTGATTTATGGTAACACTTACTTTCAAACGATTTTCCTAAATTGATTATTATACTATTCAAAAATGGTAAAGCGGATGCAATTTGTTCTTCAACAGTAAATGTAATACTAACACGTTGACTATTTCATTATTTTACAAATTCACATACATCGGATTTATTTTTAAAGATAATAAACATGTCACCTACACATATTTTCTAATATGATTGTTTTAACCGTCCAGGACACTTGTCTAACCAACATCTCTCATGGTAACTTAAAAACAGATTAGCTAAACATGGCACAATCCTTGATCCCATAGAAACTCCATCGATTTGTTCATAATGACAATCATTAAAAAATAAGTTAAACTCTTCAGTGACATGGATCCTAAGATTCTATGTGAGCTACCAGAAGATGAATGGGTCACAAAGAAGGATGACTTGCTCACTGCCAAGGATTCAATGGTCTATCAAAATGGTTTTAATATTGGATCTTAAGTGTGGATATTGGCAAATGCAAGTCGATGGAGCAAAGAGAGAGAAGACAGTCTTTACTACAGAAGGAGATTGTGTTAATTTGTTGTGTTATCATCAGGGTTGTGTAACATACCTGCTATATTTCACTGACTAATAGTGTGTGCTCTCTCAGAACTACCCTAAAACACAGTACTGATATACTTGGATGACATAATCACACATTGAAAGATGTTTGACAATTTTTGTGATGGGCTAAAAAAGTTCTGGATTAGTGGAGGAAAAAGGACCTTAAGCTGAGTCTCAAGAAATGTGAATTGTTCCATGAACAGTAGAGTTTTTTGGGACAAATTAACTGCAGAAAAGGAGTGTCTGCAGATTAATTTAAGATTTTATTCATTCAGTATTGCACAAAGCAAAGAACTTGTCCGAGGTAAGACAAGGTTTTGGACTATATTCTTGCTGTCATTCTTTTGTAAAATCATTCTCTAACATAGCTCATCCTCTACACAAATTACTTGAAAAACTGAATTTTATTGGACTGTTGATTATGGTCAATCATTCAACAAATAAAAAAGAATTAAGTTGTATTAGCATACCCAATCCTTGAAGATCCATTTATTTGAGACACAGATGCTATTGATTTTGCAGCGGGAGCACTGTTATCACATGGAAGTGAATATGTGATTGTTTACTCAACAAGGCAATGAATGCTGCAGAAAATAAGTACTGTACTACACAAAAAGAGTTACCAAGTGTTGCTCAAGCTCTAATCAATTTCTATAATTAGTATGATGGAAATTATAAGTTTTCATATAATGGAAAAATACAAAGGTACTAAAACAACGACTACAGTTGATACTTCAAAGGCTCTCGATTCTGAAGTACTTCATCAGCTTCACAGCCTCACATCAGCGGGACACTTAGGTGTTAAGAAAATGCTAGAGAGAGTAAGAGGATGCTTCTGGGTTGGATGCTAGAAATTTGTAGAGAATTGATGTAAATAATGTTTTATGTTGTTTTGGGAAAAGTCCATAGAAGAAAACAGCATGGTCTGCTACAGCAGTATTGTGTTGGATCACCACTTGAGAGAGTTACCATCAATACTCTTGGTCTTCTGTAACAGAGATACATCATGGCTGTGATGGCCTATTTCACCAAATGGCCAGAAGTATCCCTGACCTGAGTGAAGCTCCATATCCACACTAAATCTTGAAATATATTCACTGAAGAGATTCCCTGTTAAAGGGCCTGGCACGGCCAGGTGGTTAGGGCGCTCGACTCGCAATCTGCGGGTTCAAATCCCCGTCACACCAAACATGCACAGAGGATAGTCATTCAGCAGATTTTTATACAGAATATATAGAGATAGTAAGAAACGCCATTGATATCATGCATTCTTTACCTGGGAAAGATTTCAATCCGCTAACAAGTAATAATATAACGAATTGCTCTGATGTTAATGTTGATAATACTGGATTTAACTGAGGTGACATGGTATGGTTGTACAATCCCTGTCACTAGAAAGGGTGAAAAGGGCCATATGTTGTACTGCAAATAATCGATGATTTCGTTCAGAAAATACAGAAGGACAGGCAGCCTAAGCCATTTTCAATTCAGAGTAATTTTCTTTGGAAGTACTTCTGTGAGAGAATGGTGAACTGGATAACTTCAGAGAAGAATTTGCCTATGGAAAGTCAACCTTATGAAGATCCTAGGGTTCAAAAGGATCATCAAGGACAAAGCCGCCAGTGGATACGCTCAACCACCTTTATAGGGAGTACTCCCCCAGTGACAGGGCACCCAGTGACAATAAGGAACAAGAGGTCATGTTATCTACATGCCATAAACACTGGAAAAGAAAACACCCAATCAGTCTTGGCGAACTGACTGTTTAGTGTACTGTTGTGCTTGTGTATCAGAATTGTTCAAGGGACTTCACAATCGCGAAAAATGGCCGTGTTGTAAGCTATATATTTCCAGGCTCTAACTTATGTTTGCTAGAAGAAGCTGCTGGTCATGATAATGATGTAATGATTGAATGAATCTGTAAGATCTCTAGAAACAATGATACTGATATAAATACATGTGTGACATTTAGTTCAGTGCCAGTCAAAGTGAAATATTCATTTGAGTGAATAGTGAATGAGTATTCAATGACAGTTAACATATTTGTTCTGTTATACAGTTGTTTGTTGGATCTGGCATGACATGACCGGGAGAGAGGGCACTCGACTTGCAATCTGAGGGTCGCGGGTTCGAATCCCCGTCGCTGACCATGCTCGTTCTATATGTTTGCCGTTTCGGCTGGCAACCCAGGGGTAAAAATACTTGGCTTGTAAAATTACCGGATGACCCCAAACTAGCTAGGATTAAGGTCGTTAAGGAGAAGACGATTCAGTTGTTTGTTGAGTCTGTGTTTTATTATCTAACAAAGCTAAGTATCAAGTTAGAGTAGGCATGTCTCACAGTTTATATTGAAACATTGTATTTGAGGAAGGCACAGATTTATTTGAGAAGTTAATGTTGAAAGATTGTTTATGCAGTAAGCCCTACAAGTAACAAGGAAACGTGGTTGTAGAAATGTAATAGAAAAATAAGAAGAAATAAATTAATATGTGATTATTACGTACGCTGGACTTCATATTATTATCACCAAATAATTTAAATGAACCCAACCAACTATAGGACACGTTATAACAATGTATATATATATATATATAGCTATATAGATAGTTAGATAGACAGGTGTTTAGAAGAGTACATTAGATTGAATTATTTTATGCAGATTCAACTTTGATGATATGCTTTTTTTTTTTTACATGAATCAACAAAATCTGGAAATATTAGCACATAACGTTAGTTAATGAAATAACAAAAATATAAATTCTTAACGGTAAAACCACTATTTCTTCCTTATTTCTACAGTGTTCTTAGATAATATGAGTTCTGCACAAGCACAGGATAAGGCCGATAATAAAAGCAATGTCTAACAGGAAATTGTTTGAGTTAAATGAATCTGGTAACTGGACTGAGTTTTAGACTGCGTGAAAAATAAACAGAGATGGCTGCGTTTTAAGTAAATTGAAAACAATCGTTCTTACAAACAAAACAAAAAAAGGAAATAAAAAAAAACGTGCGAGTTCCTATGTAGACAAGTAAGCATTTGCTTCTACTGAATAAGTAACTAGATATTCAGCTTTTCCTCTCTCGAGATGAAACTTAATTAGAACTCCCCCAAAAAACGAGATTTCAAGCTTGCATGAGATTAGCCCAAGAGTTGGCGGTGGGTGGTGATGACTAGCTGCCTTCCCTCTAGCCTTTCACTGTTAAATTAGGGACAGATAGAAGAGGTTACCCTTGTGTAGCTTTGCGCGAAATTCAAAACAAACAAACACAACAAGAGCTGTTACACATATATCCCAAAATCGATCAGTTTTATGTGGCATCACACTACCTATGTAACACCATACAATGTCAAAATATTGTTCTGATACAATTTGTTCCACCGCAACTTTACATAGTAAGTGGCAATTTCTCGTGACCAGTTACTCTCTCACAGTATTAGTCGACTGAAACATACCGATATTGTCCACTCGGCCAGCTAATTTTGAATGAGAGATAGTCTGTTTGCAGTCTTTTGCCACAAAAACGTGCTATACACTTTGGAGCTGTGGGTGCACTGTAAGAGTAATGCTCTATTCTCAGTATTTGTTCAGATTAGAGTAGCACAAGAATTGGCAGTGAATGCTATTGATTAGCTAGTTGCTTTCCTTGGTGTCTATCAGTTTAAAATTAAGAATGTCTATGTATAGATAGTCCTTGTAGAGCTTTAAGCGAAAACTAAGACAAAGAATCAAATAATTGATTGCTAGCTTAAACTGTACGGCTCCTGCTTTCATATAACTTTATGAGGACTCCAGAATGAGTTCAGATTTTCTTTTCATGCTATTTTAATATTTTATTTCGTTTTAGTCAAAAGTAGTGATATGGCAGAACACAATTTGTGACTACTAATTCTAAGAACCCATGAGTGAAAGCAGAGGAGAATATTATAATACGTAAACCACAATACATTTTCCATATCCAGTTCAGACAAAGATTTTCACCCAATACCAGGGCTTTTCAGACCAGGTGAGATACAACAGACAAGCTAGCAGTTTTGGCACTATATATATATATATATTATATTTAGTT